ACCAATCAGAAGTGAAAGTAATAACCAATCAGAAGTGAGAGTAATAACCAATAGGAAATAACCAATCAGAAGTGAGCTCAGGGAACCAGTAGAATTCTAGGTGTAAGCCACTTTAAGAGGCAAAAAGTGAGATAGAGCCTCTGGGCCAGGGAACCCGATGCTCGTGGGAGGAGAGCAGCAGCCCTGCCTACGGGTCCTGCTGGTCTTTTTATGGGGCTTCCCGCCTCAATTTCAGCATGGAAAAATTTGGGGTCAAATTATAGGAAGTAACCTCTTCAAAACAGGAGCAAGTAGTAAACTAATACAGATGTCAGTTTTCCATTGCCTCTCAGCTGTACTCCCCAAGCCTTTCATACTTGTCCAGTCTGGGACATTGTGTACTTATCCTCCCCCTTTCATCTATAAACTGCCTGAGGATTATTCCCACCACTGCCACGGTTTCTGGCACAGATGAGACCAACAAAATTTGGTGAATTTTATTGAGATGAATCTGTAACTTGACAGCCCAAACCCTGGCAACTCCTGAGCAGCATTATCCTAAGATAACTTTTAGCCACTCATACTAGCAGAAAATATCTTATTTATTAAATATCTTAAATTAAGTATTTTACATTTAAAGTGGTTATTTTTTGAATTGTTAGTATGATGGCAGCTTTTGACTCAAGGCCAACAGAATGGCACAAATGACTCACTGAGTAGAGGTTAGCTATTGACATAGAGGCCAAGGTCTAATTTCTTAGCACCACGAGAATGTTTCTACTATCTTAATGGCATCCTTTTCCCTAGCACATCTCACAGCTATGTCACCTTCATTGCAAAGAACTAACAAAACGTAATATTGCATAATTTGACAAGCATTCATTAATCTCCTGCTGTGTCTCCAGCAGGATACTAGTTACTAAGGATACAGAGATGAATAAGAAACATTTTTATTGGCCAGGCAGTGTGCCAGGCACTGGGGATACAGCAGCTGACTCTTCCTTTCATAAATGTGTACAGTATTTCACACTCTAATGGAGGGAGAGATATGAATTATGATAGGTACAATAGAACTGAACATACAGAAGGGATCAAGTAATTCTGCTTCATGGTGACAAGGAAAGCTCCACAGAGAAAGCAAAATTTGAACTTGTCCTTGTCCTAACCTAACAAGGATACCTTGTATAATATGCATACGTGTGTATAATACACATGCACATACACACACACACACCTCTGCTCTGTTTTTGTCCCCAATTAAAACAAAAAAGTTAATTAGGAAATAAAAGAAAATAAATAAAATTAAAGTTATTTTACATTTAAAATAACTTAAAACAGCATAGTGTTAATCCTATCATATGGTTATTCTCTCAGAATATTTCTTATCATTGGACAATTAATTTATCAATCACAGACCTCTTTTTTTTTTTTAAGGAAAACAGTAAACGGAGAAGCAGAAGCAATGATTTTTTACAACTTTGAACTTTTCCATGAGTCTTTGTGATTAAGTTAGAAAACAGCGCCCTCTTGTGACCAAAAGTCAACTACTGTGCCATAAGAGCAAGTTTCAGAAAGGAGGAAGCAGGAAAGCAGGAAAAGACTGCCCCTTCAGGATGATGCGATTGTTACATGTCTTACGTTAGAAACTGCTGGCTCATAAACACTTAAAAAACACCCCTTTGTTTATGCTGGCGTGGTTAATTCTGTTTATTGACTCTTAATTCAAAAGCAGGTTTATATTTTATCTATGCTGTAGGAAAATAATTTTTTAAAAACTCTATTACTTATTTTCTGTATTTTTTCTGTATTCACTGTTGGTCTTTACAACATGCATAAGATGACCAATTGTAATAAACATTTTAGCTTATTTTTTTTCTAAAAATAATAACTGCATAGATAGCTAATGGAGATTCATCTTTGGAGGGTGAGAAGGGATATAGAAAGACAAAATAGGACATGAGGTAGTCAAAGATGAATTCATAAATATTTTCGAATCAGTTGCCTTTAATCTTCAAATCCTCATATACTATTTAAAGTAATGACACAGTCATGAATTATTATTTTACATAACTATAACTAATGCACATAGTACCTGAATACTGAAATTTGAAGATTAAAAAAGAATAGCCTTCTCAAGAAATACAGACCTTAGCTTAGCCTTAATACCTAGAAAAATACTGAGGCAAATCACCGATCAGCCAATTTATATATATCCCTAGGAAGCTGCAGAATGTAAAAACAAAACAAAAAGAGAGCTTTGTAAACACAAAAGTAAATGACCTTAATTGGAGATTAAGATGGAACTAAAGTGTTGACTCAAATGTCTTGAATAACAGTAATAATATTTCTTATTATGATTATTTGCTCTAACATTTATTGACGGTTTACCATGAGCCTGGCATGGTGCTAGGCAATCTACATATATTATATGGTACAATTGTTACAACTCATATTGCACAGATGAGAAAACTGAGGCTTAAAGAGTTTAAGAAATGTGCCCAAGATCAAGTCATAGGTGAGATTTTAAACTCAAGCTCACCACCTCCAAACCAGTATGTTTGTTGGAAATCGGGACTAGTAGTCCCAGAGTCACATACTCCAACTTTCTTAATTTTAAGCTGTATCTAGTTTGGTCATGGGTATTCAGTTTAATCTGTAACAGCTGGATAGAGAGCAATCTTCCATGTGATGTCATCCCCAGGTTGCTCAAAAAAAGACCCTGTTGTTGAGAGAGCCCACTGGGTCAATTAAAGAATTGAACATCAAAGGGGAGAGAAATGTGCAATTTTGACTCGAGAGAAAGGCCAAGGATTCTGTTTAAGAAGATTATTTAGATTTGTCTAAAGATGAGGATTCAGACTTTGTGATTCCATGAAGTGTAATAAGTGATAATTATACTTTTTACCATCTGGAGTCCAATTTTATTCTGATGTGGTTCAACCAAAGCTCTAAAGTTCTAGGTCTGGTTTGGGACAGAATGGAGAAGTCTTTTCTCATGTGGACCAATGCTGAGGAACTCATTTTCATCTTAATTCATCCATAAGTCATATCATCATCTTTTTTTTTTCTGTCTCCACAATTCCCCAGTCAAACCCCTTCTGGAGTGGAGCCATGCACAGAACAGGCACCAAACTGATAGTCATTGAATGAATGGAGAAAGTGGCAGAAAGAAATCTTAAATTATCAAGAGGAGTGAATTATACAGGAGAAGGAAGGTATTCCAAGTAGAGAGAACAACATGTACAAAACTGGGCAATGAGAATTTTTTAGGGAACTCCCAAGACCTTAACATGGTTGGAGTAAAGGCTGTGTAATAGAAAAATGGTACCTCTTAGTCACAGCTAAGAACCAGACCCTGAAGCCTACTGGCTTTGGTTTGAATCATGGTTCCACCTCTCACCAGCTATAAGTTATGTAACTTCTCTGTACTTACATAATAGAGTGGATTAAATGAGTTCATAAGAAGTGCTTAGAACAGTGCCTTCTACATAATGAGTACTCAATAGAGGTAAACCCCTATTGTTACCATGTGGGTGAGTAGTGGGTGGTAGGAAACGCAGTGGATAGGTCATAGAGTTTCCTGTGTAAAAAGGAAAAACATTTATGTCAAAAGCCACAAAGTTTTTGAAGATTTATATTTATTTATATTTAGAACTGGGGGAGACAGGGTGTGGTTTGAATTTTAGCAAGGTGATTCTAGGATGGATTGAAGTGGAACACACTGAAGACAGGAAGACCAATGAGGAGGCAATTGCAATAATCCAGATGAAATAAAGACTTAAACCAAGTCAAGGCGTGGTGAAGAGGGTTCAAATCCACAGGACTTGGCACCTGACTGAGTTAGAGGGAGACTGAATCTTGGGGCAGGTGGGGACAATTGGGTCAGCAAGGACACCAATCACTGAGAATGTGAACAGCAAGAAAGGAGTGGATTTTGAGGAAGATGAAGAATTTATCTCCATACATGGTATCTTTGATTTTGGATACACTGAGTTTGGAGAACAGCCAAGTACCATTGCCTAGTAGGCAATGGATAAACAGTTTTGGTATTTCAGAGAGAAATCAGAACTCTGGTAAGAACCCTAGCCAATGTATTAAGTAGAGTTGTTTACACTTCTGGACTGAAGTAGAGTTGTTTATACTTCTGTTTGTCGGTTAAGATGCTATCTCTGCCTTGATTATAGGTAGTAATATTAAAAAGATTGAACTAAGCCCCATTTAGAACATGGTGAAGTCCAGAGATTCTTTTGGCAATTCATGAAGATTATTTATTGTCACACAGTAGTGACTAAAACAAAGGCACTGCCAAAATCAAAGACATACAAATCATTGATTAGGTCATACTTTGAGGATTTGGTTAACTGATCTTCTCTGCAATGCCTTGCTTTTGGCTGGGACATTTAATATATAGTCAGTACTTAAATGTGTGCATATGGGTATAAATACTAATATGTGTATGTGTATATAACATGTAGTTTTATACTTTTCAGTCATTCAAAAATTTTACTATGCCTTTGCAATTTTTTAACTTTCCTCCATAGGCATCTCCGATGAATATATAACACCTATGTTTAGTTTTTATAAAAGTGTTGCAGAATTGAAAATGACTCAAGAAGAGTATGCTCTGCTTACAGCAATTGTTATCCTCTCTCCAGGTAATTTCAATGTTACATTTTTATTTTTATGCCTTCTGTTGGTTTCTTCCCCCCAAGTATAGTAGTAACACTGCAAAACAGAAACATAAAGAAAAAGCAAAATAGCTTATAATTCCATCACTCAAATTTATCCATTAATATTTCAGTATAGTTCCTCTCAGCCTTTTTCCAAGCATCACACTCATTCATTCAGTAATTGCGCCTTGAACACCTTATACACACTATACGTGGTTCTAGGTATTGGGAGATACAGCAGCAATGGAACAGGCAGGATACAGCTACATAGAGCATCCATTCTACTAGGGTGAGAAAGACAATAAATGAAGCAACAAATGAAAATAATTTTCTGGAGGTGGTAGTGCTGCAAAAAAAAGAAAGATGAGCGTATAAGGAAAGAAAGTAGCAGCAAAATTCTGTTATAATCAGTGGTCAGGGAAGGCTTTTCTAAGGGGTTGAAATCTGAGCAAGGACATAAATGAAATTACATACTTTTTCTTTAACATAATAAAGAACACACTGACTTTAAGTTTACTTTACTCATGTGATTAAAAATTATGTTGGTAAAAGTTTGTTGTAATATGTGCATCATATTCTATTGTGTTGATGTACAATCATTTACTCAATTATTACCATGTTTGGATATTTAGGATGCTTCCAATTTTTGTTGTTGTTGTTGTTTTAAACAATGTTGAAATGAAAACCTATGTACATAAAATCTGTATTTTTTGATTACTTTAATTATTTGGAAGTAACTGATGCCATCCGTGTTCATGATTTGTAAGGCTTAATTACAATGTTAGCCTTTTTTTTAATTTTTAAGTTTTTTTAAATTTGGCTTTTAATTTATTTTTAAACACTTTTTATTGATTTATAATCATTTTACAATATTGTGTCAAATTCCAGTGTAGAGCACAATTTTTCAATTATACATGATCATATGTATATTCATTGTCACATTCCTTTCTCTGTGAGCTACCATAAGATTTTGTATATATTTCCCTGTGCTATACAGTATAATCTTGTTTATCTATTCTACAGTTTTGAAATCCCAGTCTATCTCTTCCCACTCCCCACCCCCTTACAATGTTAGCCTTAAATGAATTTTATACATGATACTGAGGCAGGAGCTAGTTGTTAGTTTGTTTTACCATAAGAAATTACAGTTAAAAAAAGAAAAACTTTTCAGCAGTACATACTAAAGTTACATGTGTATATCCCCTATGATCCAGCAATTCCACTTCTCAGAATGTACCCACTAGAAATGATGCTTATGTCTATCATAGAGGTTACCTTGGATTCACTGATTGGAAGGAGAATTTAGGGAGGCTTCTTGGGGGCAGTAAATGTTCTATAGCTTGATCTAGTTGTGATTACATGAATATATATGAATAGATTCATATATATTCATTTATGCATATATATATATAAAACATTTATACATATATAAAAATTCATCAGTTTGAACACTTAATTTGTACATTTTAAGTGTACAATATTTATAAGTTACACTCAAAAAAGTTAACATTCTTGTAGTTATTCCAAATGATGACTTTTTTTTTTGGTCATTTTATTTTAAACTCAAAACAGATAGACAATATATAAAGGACAGAGAGGCCATAGAGAAGCTTCAAGAACCACTGCTTGATGTTCTACAAAAGTTGTGCAAGATTCACCAGCCTGAAAATCCTCAACATTTTGCCTGTCTCCTGGGTCGCCTAACTGAGTTGCGGACATTCAACCATCACCATGCAGAAATGCTTATGTCATGGAGAGTGAATGACCACAAGTTTACCCCGCTTCTCTGTGAAATCTGGGACGTACAGTGATGAGCATTGCAGGGGCAAGGTCTAGCTCGTCAGTTTCTTCATAATATAAATCTTATATATAACTTTCCTTTATTTCATTTGTACCTGGTTTCACACAAGGATTTTCATCAATATTTATATAGTAGTTCTATAACTTCCACAATTGTAAATATGGGGCCAGGTAGAAATACCTCCTCTACACTATATTTTACAAGGCTTCAGGGAATCTATCATTTGAATTGGCATGCCCTGTTTACCTATTTAAAGTGATCATTACTTCAAGTCTATCTGCTGAAATAGGGAAAATCTCATTTTGCTCTTCATCTTACCATATTGCATATATTTTATTAAGAGTTGTGTTCAATTTTGGCAATAAACTGAACATAATGGCAATAGGCTTTTCTTTGAGAATAAGATTTGAAACATATGCAAACTTATTTCTTTAAATGATGAATGACATCCTATTGAGTCTGAGGGGGTAATTTACAAAAAGATAAACTCTTCCAACATAAATGGTGTTTTTCTCCTTCCTGGAAGCCCTGGTAAATAGTCATTCATTCGTAATAGCCCCCTGATTATTTCCTTTTCTTTGAAGTTCAAGGAGAGTAGCATACAGAAAAGTTAATGATTCTAAAATAAATTATTCCTTGCTCAAGCAAACGCTTTCCATAGTTAGGGTCTTGAGGCATCATTTACAAATTCAGAGTATGCAGATAACTCCAGCAATGGGACATTCCCTTTTTTCTCTTAAAAGTGCTCCCTATTGGCTTCAGTGCATGTAATTAATCTTTTTTGTTTGTTTTGCTTTTGGAAAACACTCCTTCAGCTGGATGCACAGCTGTTGTATACTTACCCCCAAAGCAGGAGTTAGTTCATTTCCTTCCTTCATTGTCATACTGTTGCATTACTATCCCCATTATCCTTTGGTGATTACAATAAAACACCTTCTATAAATAATGGGCTCCCTTTCTCCTGAAATCATGCAAAATTGAGCTTGCTTAGCAAGCAAAGAGGTTTTTTGGGGGTTTTTGTTGTTATTTCTTTTTTAAAATTAAATACTAGGGTAACCCTGAAGTCCTAATAAAGGCTAGTCAGTAGTAAAGAAAGTGAGTTGCGGCTAAAATCAGCTGGATTCCATTTGCTACAACAACAAAAAAGACTTGAGTCTCTCTAAGTATAAGATCCTTGTGCTAAATTCCTTGGGAGATACAAAGATGATTGACACAGTAACTGCCTAGAGGGGCTTACAAAGACGAGCAGCGGAAAGTGCTTTGGGCTTACCTGGGAAAATATCACAGAGGAGGTTGCCTTTTCCCAGAGCTTGGAAGAATAGTCAGGACTCCATGGGTCATGGTAAGAGGGAAGGGGATTAAAGGTGAAAGGGGTGACAGGAGCAAAAGGAGGGAGGCAGGGGAGTTGTGCTGATGTTAGAGACCACAAGCAGTCTCAGAGCGGCGGGGTGGGGGACGAGGGGAGAGGGTGCCCAGTGCCTTGCTAAGCCTCGGTTTCACCACTGCAGAACGAAGGCATCAGTATCCACTGTGTAAAGGGATTTTAGCTGATGAATGAGCAGCAAATGGGAAGTTAGACCCACCAGGGAAGAGGGTGGTGAGGAGAGGATGTTTAAGAGACACAAAAGTAAATTTCTGAATGCCTGAAGGAGTAGAGCCTGTTGGGACCTGAGTGCGGTTCGGTGTTTCCAGATCCTAAGGCATCTGTAGGAAAGGTGGTGGGAAATAAGCTGGAACTGAGGGGGTACTGTAGGCAGAGTTAGGAGTTAACCTTGTAGGTATGGGTTTATTCAAGTGGTTAAGGCCTTGTAATAGCAAATAATGCTTCTCATGTGGAAAACTAGTTGTGATATAATAAGAAATAGATATTTGGTCTTTGCCCCCAGTTCCTGACATAGAGCTTCTAAAACTCTTGGAATTTCCTAAGTGACAGGAGCATCTTTCTTTACTCATAACAAACTCCTTTCAACCATACCTGAGTTTATGCTAATAAGGTGACTCTTGGTGGGCCCCTAGATACTGCAGGGTGGGGAATGGCTCCCAGAGAAACCAGCCATGTGATTAGAGCATTAAAACTCTCAGTCCTGTCCCTAGACCTCTGGGGAGGGGAGAAGAGCCCAGAGATTTAGGTCAATTGCCATTGGCCAATGATTTAATCTATCGTGCTCATGTAATGGAGATTCCATATAAACCCCCAAATGATGGCATTTGGGGAGCTTCTGGGTTGTTGAACATAGTGAGGTGCTAAGAGGGCGATGTGTGGGAGACAGCATGGAACTCCATGCCCTCCTCCCTATGCCATGTGTCTTTTCCATTTGACTGTTGCTGAGATGTAGCCTTTACAATAAACTGGTAATAGTTAACTGCTGTCCCAAATTCTGTGAGCCATCTAGCACATTACTGAACCTGAAAAGGGGGTCATCTGCAAAGATCTTAATTCCAAATAAGGGCACATTCTGAGGTTCCAGGTGGACATGAATTTTGGAGGAGACACTATTCAATCCACTATATAGATGTAACATTTTAGTATTAATCACAACTGTTGTTATAAAATTTTATATCATTGAATTACTTACAGATAATATTTGTTAATGTAAATCAGTAACATTCCTTTAAGATAGAACTTAGTATTGTTTTTAATGTAGTTGGCTCTCAATAAATTATCTGCTGAATGAGTAGTTTAATTGTGAATGAATCAAGATCTCTATTGCCCCCAAATTTCACCCAGTAGTTCACACAAGGCACAATCCATAGACTGATAGTCAATAATTTCAAAGCATTAAAAACAGCAACAGCAGAAACTACAAAATGCAGAACAAAATAACTAATAAACCAATCAAAAGTGAAAACAAAAACAAAACACCTCGAACAACTACAGTATATTTAAAGCAATAGAGCATTCTTGTAGGGCTGTGAAAAACCCAAATCATATTTCAATATCCAAGGATTATATGATTATGAGAGACTTCTGCATTTTATAGAGATGTTTAGTCAGGTGAATGGATATTCCTAATGTGATATGTTTAAAAATTTAGATTCCAAACATGATGCTTTGTTAAAGTGAGGCACATCATCAAAATTTTGAGAATGTCAGAACTAAAATACTTTATCTGATGGAAGCAAACTGGTAAGGCTTGCTTTGCATTTTACAACCATGCCAATTTTAAATGAGACCATCTAAAACATTGCTATTAACCTAACCACCAATTAGAAAATCTACACATCAAAGGAGATTGCAGCTTATTAGGTGAAACCCTCAATTACTAATTGCAGTGTTAAAATCAAGGTGGGTAAGATGACGAGTGGCTTAGTGAGTGGGGTACTAACTGGGAATTCAAGTAAAAGTGAGGTTGAGAGAGCAACAAGAACTTTTTTCTTTTTTACACATTAGGGAAAAGCAACTAGAAGGAAATTAGAAGAATCAAAGCATCTAGAAGGGAACTTCTCACCCAGTCCCCATGTTTAACCAGTGAGGAAGATGGACTTACAAGTGATTTGCACAGATTTCCTGACTCCAGATTCACTTTCCAGATACACTGTCCTATACCTTTATAAGGTAGAGGAGTTACCAAGACAAATCAAATAGACAATGAGAGTAAAAAGAAAGCAACCATAAAAATACCCTGCTGCCAAAGTTTCAGCAAATGGTTTAGAGAAATACTAAGTGGTGTGTTTGTGTGAGTGTGCGCACATGCACACATTAGAGGGAGAGAGGATGTGTACATACTTTATATAGCACAGTTTCAATTTTTAGTAAGTGGTATGAAAATATTTAGGTATATAGATGCATGTAAGAAACTAAAGGAACTGTTTACTGACTCAAACAAGATCTGTATAACAATTTACTTATTCTTAAGGTTTTACAAAGACGTGTACATATTTTGATATTAGGGCTCAACTAACCCAATTTAAAGTCACAACTCCACTTGAAATTTGACTAAATGAAATGGTATGACAAATTGTCCTTTAGTTTCACATAGAAACATTTTAAAACCGGTTGATTTGAACAACCAGTCCTGTGAAAATAGGTCTATTGTAGTCATGGGCAGCAACGGCTTCTGCGATAGACATCAGTGAAAAAAGGAGCAACCACTATTGAGCATCAGGTTCAATTAGCACTTAAATGTCAACTTTTTGATGACCATCTTCACCTAACCCAGAAGGTAAGCTCTCTGAGAACAGGACCCCTGTGCTTAGGATGGAGTCTGGTGCAGAGAAAGTGCTTAACAGTTTTGAATTAACTTCTGACATCTGTATCTCTTGCACAGACTAATTCAACCAGCTTCAGACCTAACCTTCCAACCATCTTCTGGACACTTCTACCTTCACGTTCCCCTCACATTTCAAAGTTAACACACCCACACACCCAAATGCATTATTCTTTCCCCTATAGTTGTTTTCCCTGTGTTCCTTAGACTGGCATCACTGTTACAAGATACTAAGTCCAGGTAAATAAGCCTCTTAGGTATCTCCAGACACCTCTTTTTCACTATCCACTCTGAGCTACTTTACGTAATTGTCATCTTTTAAGTTTTACAATTGCTGCCAGTCTTCAAAAATCCTCCAAAATGATTTTTCCCCCTAAAACACAAATATCACAATTGCTTGCAGGAAAAATCTAAATTTCTTAGTGACTACCAGGGCTTTAATCTGTGCTTACTCCTTCAGCCTGATCTACCTCTAAATCTCCAAACTTTAGTCATTCAAAACTACTATTCCCAGAACATTGCAGGTGCTCTCACATCCCTTGGAAGCTGGTTGTTTTCTCTGCGTAGCAAGCACTCCTTACTCCTAATTATCCTCTCTCTTGGCAGACTCCTGTTCATCCTTCAAAGTTCAACCTTTCAAGCCTCTGACCATCACTCTCCAAGCCTGTGAGGTGTTCCTTTCACAGCCTTCCACTGAGTCTTTGCCATGTTGCTGAGCACTTTGAAGGCAAGGACTGTCTTCTTCACTTTAGTCTCTTCAGGGAGCAACAGTTCCTCCTCAGTGTTTTTGATGAAGGAAGGAATAAATACTAGACAGCATCATTCCAGGTCGATTCCACTCTTTACAAATGGGAAACTGAGGCCCAGAGAGGTGACATGATTTGACAAAATAAAACTAAGAAGAGGGGAAAGGTTTGGACTTTCAGGCTGTTGGCACTGGTTCCCGTCCCCGACCCCCCATATTAACAAGTCACATTCAGTTATCACAGACCTATCTTTTGTTACAGTCAAGACCAGTCCCCACTTTACCTCAACCCTGGGAGCTAGCAAACATCTCTCATTATGTTGAGGTTAATCCTACCTCCCCCTCCCCCCCGCTCTGGGGTTTCCAGAAGGAAAGGGCAACATCCTCTTTTTGCTTTCAGTTGTGGCCTGGAGCTAGATTCCTCTCCGTCTCTCTTCCCACACTGCTCACAGGACTCCCATGCCTGCAGCGTGACAGTTTGCATCCGGAAACCCGTGGCGCCCTCAGTACAGCCAGATCTTGGGTGGATTTAGGACTGGGACGGGCTCTAAACAGATCAGGGTAAAACTCAGGGCAACTCTACACCACAACATTTCAGGATGCTTAGAGAGGCCGATTTATTTCTCCTGCCAATAGAGACAAACGGGTTTGTTGTTGTCGCTGAGGGGCCAGATCAGAGGACATGCTCTGTGACCAAGCCATTTTCAGTGAAAAAAGGGGCTTGGCCCCTAGGATTGTGAGACTCCAGGAGGTGGGAGGCAGGGCGCCCCTTGCCTTGAGACGCGCGCAGGTCGCGTGCTCCCGGGGCGGCCTGTGGGCGGGGCACACGGCCACGCCCCTCTCCGCTGATTGGTTCCTTCGAAACAGGCGGCGGCGAACCGCCGAGAACCCTGAGGCGCAGGCTGCTGAGGCGGCGGCGGCGGTTGGTCAGGGGCGTGCCGGCGAGGCAGAGATTGAGCGAGATGTGGCCCCGCAGGGAGACGTGACCCTCCTGCGCCTGGGCGGGTGAGTACTTCCCTGTTTGCCTTCTCTTATCTTCGAGAACTTTTACTAGCCTTCTCGGGGCTGCCGCGCCTCAGCTTGCGTTCCATAAGCCCCTCAAGCTCAGCGGAGTCGAAGCGGTGGTTCGGTCGGGGCCGCGGGATCCAAGACGCCGTGCGATTGGCCCTCTGCGGGAGTCGCGTGCTCTGATTGGTCCTTGGGCCCGTCACGGTGACGTTAGGCCTGCCTTCCTCTTCCCACCCCGTGCGATGTGAGGGGCAACAGGTGTGCTGGGGCGGGCGCTCTCAGGTGTGGGTGCACTAGGCTGGGGAGGAGGTATCGACCCGCTGTTGCGCTGCCTTAGAATCCAAAGAGAGTTGAGGCTGAAGTAGTGTCGCCTCTCCTCATTTCCAAGCACCTAGCACATAACAGGGTCACTTGATTCCTCAACGTTGAGAAGTATTGTTGAAGTCACTGACCTTGAAAGAATAGTCATTTTGCGCTCAGGCGGAGTTTACAGTCTCTTCCCTGTTGTTCCCTCCAGTCCACGCAAGGCCCACCCACATAGCCCAGATGGCCGGAACAAGGGGCTGTAACCGGAGGCTCTGCGCGATGCTTTTCCCACCCACACCCCTCGGTTTGAAGGACTGCGTTGTGGGGGAGCTTGTAGATTGCCTTGGAAGTCGGAGGAAAGTTTTGGACGGCGTGCTTTCCCATGCACTCCTAGTTCTTAACTAATCTTTTCAAACCAAGGGATTGAATTTTATGGATTTAGATATGCTTTGTGATATGTCTAGTGGAGAAGCTGATTAGTCGTTATTAAGCAAAGCGATTTTTTTTCACAGGACCAGTCTAGGTCAGAGTTTGGGCTTTGCTGCTTTTATATGGAGAGTGCTCACAACTATTCTCTTAGAAAATGAGCAGTTTGTGAACTGCTATCTAATCACTTCACTTGGCACTTAAATGATTAGAAATTGGAATTCTCACCACCGCATATTCCCCTTTAGAGGCGATGGAAATGGGTTTGAAAGAAAAAGTGGAAACTCTGGTGACGGTCTAGCGTAGATCCTGATAGATTGTTGCTTGTCTGACTCATCAGTTTCAAAAAGTCAATAAAAACCAACGGACTTTGAATAACAGGTATCTCTGCTATCTTGACACTAATGAATTAAAAGTAATATTCCTTTTTAGTGTAACAGAGTTGCTAAGCATTGGGGCTCTGAAGTCAGACTTTATTGTGTGACCTATTTAATCTTTCTAAGGCTAAATTTCCTACTCTATAAAAGGAGGTTAATAACAGTTCCTACCTTATTGATGAGAAGGTTGTGAGGATCAAATGAAATTATCCATATAACTAGTTTAGTACAGTACCTGACACATAGCTATTATTATTTCTGTGCTGTTTAATTTGAATCAGAAGTTTCAAGCTATCCCCAAAGAGCAGAGAGGAGCAGAAGGTGAAGGCAGTGCCAGGGGTAGTGGTAGTTACCATTCATTGCTTACGTTCACATATGTAAAGCACTTAAAATTGTATCTGGCACATACTAAACACTCATTTCTATTTATCGAACGCATTATTACCCAGAATGTGTCAGGTGCTGTGTTTGGTGCTTTACTTATATTACTGTTAAACCTCTTAGTAAACCTGCATTGTGGTTGGTGTTTTCTCCATGTTACAGATGAGGAAACGCAAGCTCAGAGAAAGGAATTAAGCTACTAAGGTCCACCCAGAATCAGTCTAGACTGTCCAGCCTCTTTTTTTGTATCACACTACTCTTGCATTTATATTCCCAGCATTAAACAACTTCTCTGCACAGAGAAGTTCATTTCTGCAGTGGGTATGGGTTTATTTTGAATACTTCATTAAAAATAATGAGTAATAACTTGTGATAGTAAATCAAA